CAGAGACAGAATGAGAAAGGGATCCATGGATTAGATACATTCATGCAGAAGAAAACAGAAGCAAAGTGAGAAAGAAAGTGGAAAGACTGAAGGAGAAAAAAAAAGATCTATAATTGGAACAAGTATTCTGTATTTACTTTATTTACTAATTCCATTTTATTGGCCAGTGGCAGAAAATCAGAGCTAGGAGGAGAATCACTGCTCCAGAGATGGACAAAAAGATGAATAATTTGTGTCTTTTTATATTTCTGAGAAAAAAATGGTGACAATATCTCTAATTAAACACTCCATTGTGCCATATTACACTAGAAAGCTCATTTATATGGAGTATATCATCATACATGAAAATGGTGAATAGAGTGGTTTTTTTTTTCAGACCCTGCACCTGTAAGAACAGTTTCAAATCAACCTTGTTATGCTCTGCTTTGTAAAAAACCACCATGCAGTTTGCCTACATCCTACACAGCATGTCATTCTTGGAAAGTTCCAACATATGGGACAGCTAACAGTGACAACACAGATTCAGATAAAGGCTCAGCAGTAATCAGAAGCAAATGCTACAGAGTGAGGACATGACAAATATGGATGAGAACACTCCTGAATGCTGTCTTGGACTTGGAATGCCTTCAGTTTGGGGGATCTCCTAAGCCAGACATAATTTATCTACCACTCTTCCAACACACTACCAAGCATTTGTTCCATTTCCCTTTCAAATCAATTAAACTTTTGCTGTCTGTAGCATCAATTGGGAAGTTATTCTCCAAGGCTGCTAAACTTTTCACGACGAAAATCACCTGTTCCTTTGGTGTATGTGTGCTTTGAATTTGTGTTCTGTTGGCCTCACTGGGTCCTGGTTCTTGTGCTGGAAAAACAGTTTATCTTCCAGACACTCATGACAGTATAGATAGAGCAAAGCTTCTGTTAAAGACATCTTCATTGGGCTCTCACTCAAGTTGACAAGTCCCTGCCTATTCAGTTTTCTAGTACTGAAACCATGTCTTATTTACCATTCATACTGCCATTTCATCTTGGCAGCCCTTCTCTGGCTTTTTCCCAAGTCTACTCCTGGGAACCAGAACTGCACACAGTATTCAAGGTTGGGGTGAACTGTGAATTTATGCAGTGTCATAATGACATTTTCTACTTTGTCCTCAAATTCCTAACAATTCCTAACTCTCTGTACGACTTCTGATCACAGCTGAGCTGTAAGCTGATATTTTCACAGAACTTTCTTTTGCTGTCCCAGAGTGTTGATCTTGTGGAGCAAGAGGCCATCAGCCATGAGTCACCATCAGGTCATGAATTTACCTTTTTTTTTTGCTCTGTGTGTCATTTTACCTGAACTACTTGCATTTTTTTGGACATTTTTTTTGCTGTTACCAAGCCTCTCCAGGTTTTCTTCTACACTTTCCTACAACCTGTACTCAACTTTACTCCCCAGACTAACCTCATAAACCAATTCTCTCATTCCACTGTATGATTTATTTTCTGGGTCATGGACGAGCACGTCAAACGGCACACATTTCAGCACAGATCCCTCTAGAATTCTTTTGGGAATCACCCACCCATGAAAGAATTAAATATTTGTTCCTACTCCCTTTTTCCTATTTGGCAATTACTTCTTCATTCATGCCGGGATTTCTCCTCTTATGCCATTCTTTTAGTTCCTTAGAAGACTTTTGTTAAGGAATTTGCCAAAAGCCAATTGGGAAATTCAAATAGATTGTATCAATTAGAGCTCTCTTATCCACATGCTTGCCAACCCCTTGAAAAATTCATTAGAATTTTACAAAAACGAGATTTTCTGTTGCATAATTTGTGCTACTCATCCCAAATGGGTCACGCTGATCTTACATGGCCTCTCATTCTATGCTTTATTACAAATTCTACTTAACTGCCCAGTACAGATGTCTGGCTTACAAGCCAGTAATTTCCTGCTCTCTCCGTGGAGATAAAGGTAGGTGTGCAATATGATTACTTAAATGATGAACCATGCAATTTTCTTTCTAAATCTTTCTGTCTCTGTATACCTTCTGATTCATTGATTAAGTGTCAGACTATCTGTCCATCTATCTTCTGTCTCCTTGGAACACAAGATTCTGTTTTGCCTTTTTCCCCCTCAAATAGGAAAATACTCTCCAAGTTGTAGGGCAACAAGGAAGTTAGTAACTAGTTGTATATTTATAGCTCTTTTTAATCTTAAATCACTGTATGCACGTTTATCTAACAATATTCACTAATCTCAAATAACCAACCTAGTTAGTACTGCTTTAATATGAACTGGATATCCCTACATTTGATGGTTAAATTCTATTGTTTCTTCCATTCAGATATTTTAACTGAGTTATAGTGGGTAACGGTCACAGAGCAGACTTCCCTCATCACAAGAAACTAAGTCATGTTTCCTCAACTCCGCAAAGAGGGAGGAGAGGAAGCTTTAGCAGTATCTCAAAGACCATTCTTGTTACAGGATTTAAAGCAAGCTAGCCTGCTCCATACTTCTACTGAATGTGTTTAAAGCACCCTTTCCCTTAAGCAAAGATGGATATCATGTTTGAATTCCAGCTTCTTGTGCCTGCGGAGCCACATCTGACACAACTAAATATATTTAGATTTTACTTCCAAATTCTTTCTCCTTCTTCCTCATATTCAGATTTAATCTGAAATACACCATGTTGGAATTTCTTCCCTTCCAAATACTAGAAAAAAACTACTGTTTCTCAAGGCAAGATTTCTCATGCAATCATTGCAAAGTACTCATGTTATAATCTCATAATTCTGGAACTTTCATTCTCCGGAGAACATTCTGCCAGTTATTAGGCAGAACAGCCAGCAACTGGTGATCAATAGGCAATGGATTTATTTATATGGTGAAAATACTTGACAGGACAAGAACTGACTAATTGCTTCTTGCAGTCTTGGATTGCTTTTACAATTTAGCATTTGCACACTGCCATATTTCCCTTAATATTTAGTGCTGTTTGCAATCACTCACTTTTCAATTTTGCGTCAGCATACTTAAAATTATAAGCTCTGAAACAGTGCTTTGTATTCAGCAAGGACTCAGCTTTATGCTGCTTAACTGGCACAGTAACTGAGCAAAAACCTGACCATTTTTGTTGTTTTCACTGATAGGATATAAGGAAGAAAAATTTAGCTAATAATTAGTCAATAAATGAGGTACTGCTGATTTTGATGGTTCTCACTGTTGAACAGAAATGGCTGCAAGTTATAACTATGAATGTCTAAAATACATTCTATTTGTTGACTGAATATCATATCCGTATTAGTTTTTAATCCAAATATCCATTCAAATAACATGGTGAATCAAAGCATCAGGTTCTTATCTGCTGTAGCCTGACAGCAAACTCCACTTAACTCAGCGGTAGTGTCAGACACAAAGGGCTGACTTCTGATTCTAATTGACATTACTTCTCAGATTCAGGTGAAAACAGGCATACTGGAAATAAGCTATTGATAAAACACACTGTTATTGTGATGTGCCAGGGGAATTTAGACATGTCAAATAATCTTCCCACAAGGAAAATGATAGCTGGTACTTTTAACAGAGACCGATATTTTGCCATTCTCCAGTTAAACCCATCATGTTTTTTATTGACAGGTGGACTTCTCTGTTACTTCTATTTCTTACACAGTTTAAAGAAACACATAATTTGGAGATCTTATACAGATGGGGAAGATAACGAGCCCTTCTCAGATAATCAGTCAATGGCTCCTCCATTGCTTTTCATGTGTTACATCAAACCTTTTCTTTCCACTGCTCAAAGAATGCTTAATTTCCACACAGAGCAAGATAGCCAGAGGAACTGAAAGATCCCAGCACCAGGATGACTGAAAAACCACAGTGAGAGTGTATTTGAGATTTGGATTTTAGTTTTATAGCAATGGAGAGGGCTGTATTTTGGAAGCTGGGCAGAAAGACTCTTTGAGGTTCAGATGCAGCTGTCACTTCAAGAAGGCTGAACCAACAGTGACTGAGCAGGGAGCTTCCAGCCTGATCCCTTCTGAAGAGATGCTGGCAATTTTATCACATTGTTGCATCCCATCCCTCTGGGTCTACTGACAAATTCCTGGAAATGCTAAAAGAACAGTTCCAAAAGAACAGTTCTAAAAGAACAGCAAACAGAGCAGTGCTAAGGGCTGCGGAATGATCCATATTGCCAAACTCCAATTATCTGATGTTTATAAGAGGTGCTAAATATAATTTAGTATTGATTTACCTTTAGGGTAAAAAATACTCCTCATTATTTGCAGTTGTGTGTTTGATAAATCTGCAGAGCCCAAAGCAAACACTGACTCGTGCAAATTAGCGTTTATAGATCTTATTTTTGTTCAGAATTCATTTTCCATCGGTTTTGAAGCTGGGAAGCACAGCACTTTCAGCAAGGGGCAGCACCATTAAAGCGAGCCATCCGACAGGACACATCACCGTGCTGCAGGAGTGTCCCGTGGCTCTGATGAAATGATGGTAAATGCCATGGAGCTGTATTTGTGGAGCACACAAAATTTCATGCAGACCTGAGGAAGCACTTCTTTGCTGTGTGAGTGACAGAGCAGTGGAACAGGTTGCCTAGAGAGGGTGTGGAGTCTCCTTCCCTGCAGATAGTCAAAACCCGCCTGGATCTCTCGAGCAACCCAGTGTAGGGAACCTGCTTTCGCAAGGGGTGGCCTTGATGATCTCCAGAAGTCCCTATAAACCCCGACAAGTCTGTGATTCTGTGTATAGGGGCCAACGCAGCGTTGAAACAAGCACGGAGCTCCAGGGCAGGCAAGCACGGAGCTTAATTACATGGTTAATTAGAAATAGACCAGGAACCCCGTACCGATTTTGTATAATGTGAAAAACCAAGCGCGCATCGCACCCACCACAGCGAGATCAGGGCGGTGCGGGGGCTGCCGTACGGCGAGGGGGCGTGGCCTACGGGCTGGGGGGCGTGGCCTACACCAAAGGGCTCGGCATAGTCGCATTTCCTCCCGCTCCCCATCTGCGCATGCGCTGTGGCCCGGAAACGCTGTGACCCGCTATGGCGATGGCGGAGAAGTTCGACTCGCTTGAGGAGCACCTGGAGAAGTTCGTGGAGAACATCCGGCAGCTCGGCATCATCGTCAGCGACTTCCAGCCCAGCAGCCAGGCCGGCCTCAACCAGAAGCTGTGAGCCGCTCGCTGCTTTCGCGGCGTCTGTTGGCGGGGGTTGGGGCGGTGACGGGGAGCGAGGAGCGCCAGCTCTGTGCTAAGCGGCTCCGCTTTTCTCCCTGCAGGAATTTCATGGTGACGGGCCTACAGGACATCGACAAGTGCCGGCAACAGCTTCACGACATCAGCGTGCCTCTGGAAGTGTTCGAGTGAGTGGCTTCGCCCACACCGGAGCTCTGTGTCTCCCGAGTTACCGCCACGGTGCCAGCAGGCAGGGAGCGCTTCCTGCTTGCGGAGAGCTGGCAGGAAGGGGGAGGGAGGGCTCTGCACTGCAGCTTTCACGTGAAAGGCATGATCTAACTTAGCTGTTCCATTGCAAGTCCCGGCGTTGTTGTTTTGCTATGATCCAGCATTCATTTTTCTTGTCTCTTCCGTCTGTGATGAAGTTTCCCTTAACTGAATGCTTAATGCAGCAAAGGAAAAATAGGCTTATGCTGGCTGGTGCAAGTGCTGGTACTGCTTTTACTACCATATGTAAATTGCTCCAAAAGTAATGCTTCCTACTTATTTCTGTGGGAACTAGAATAGAGGAAAACAGTGCAGTAATGCTGATAAAGCAGATTCTCAGCTACAAAACACTACTTTACACCAGGGTCATTGCCGTTAGCTGTGTGTATTCACCAGTAGGCAGGAGCCTGTGTGCCACACTTGTAAACATCTGCACTGGTGGAGGTGACCCACTGTTGTCACTGCTGGAACACACCACCTCACTGTGCTTACATCCATTGTCTGGTGTCCATCAACGTTCAGCAAGTGTCAGTGGGTGCACTTATTCCTGCATGGAGGAGTTCCATGATACAACTTTTGTTTCATACATTCTTCTTTGTCAGGTTCAATGTTGTCAGACTGTGCCTCTGCTGCCATCTCTCACGTGTCAACAAAATGGTGGAGTATGTGGTGGGAAGATTCCACCTTTACTGTCACACCACAGGCATCCTCCTCTGAAGCCACTTGCCAACATGGTAAAATAAGAGACATTACTTTTGGAGCACCCCTCGCATGTGCACTCTCATCCTTGAATCACTGGGTGTCTTATTCCTATGTGCTGATTGCATGCTATGTATTAACAAAGCTGTTCTATGATTCATGCCCTTTTAGTTGCTTGAAGGGGAACCTTTCCCCTTGCTTTTACTTACTACTGTCTGTGAGGAGATGGATGGTTACTCTGTTTCAATACATTTTTCAGAACTCTAGGCTCTTTGTAAACAAACATTTACCTTTACTGTGACAGCTACTTCCTGGAGTTGTATTTTGGAAGTAACTCATTTAAACTTCAGAATAGCATCAAGAAAAAAAGCAGGATGAGTAATTTTGTTCCTTGGAGAACTTTCTAGTGCTAATATAATCGCTTAGGTGCTATCTTTTGTATTTTCAGATATATAGACCAAGGTCGCAACCCTCAGCTTTACACTAAGGAGTGCCTGGAGAGAGCTTTGGCTAAGAATGAACAAGTAAAAGGAAAAATTGACACAATGAAGGTAAAACCAAAAATAGAGAAAGTACTAATATAATAATGCATCTGGCCAGTTTTTTTCAGTAAACGTGCATGGTTTTGCTTGCACAGTTACCAAATTTCCCTATTAGGTGATTTGCGTTAGGGATTATTCTGCATCCCTGTATCTTAACAGGAATGCCTTTACAACCTGTTCTGAAAAGGAAACTTGTAGTTCACTCTATGGCTGGTGATACAGATGTTGCTATGTCTTATTCTAAAATTATGGAGGATGGGAGTTTGTGTTGCAGAATGTAGACACATCTGTGTATGTTTTAAGCATTTTTTTTCTTGATATAAAGCTCATTGCTCAAAGAAGTTGTAGGAAGAGTTATTCATTTCTAAACCAGGTGCCTGTACTTCTTGGAGGTGGAGCTATTTGTGTACCAAATCAAGTGGACATGTCCTTTATCAGCTTTGCATTTAAAAAAAAACATCTAAACAACTCTCCTTTACAATTAAGGATGTATGGACTGAAGCATCCAGTCCATAAACTTTTGAATGTTTATGGTTAGTTTTTAGGTGTCTTAGTTAAGCTGCATGGATTTAATTCTCATCTGTCGTCTTGTTCTTTTTGGGACATCTTGGATTGGTAATGGGGTGGAAAGAGGACGATATGCTTATCTTGAGTTTCAGTAATGTCACTTATTGTCTACTTCCTGCATCTCCTTGCATTGTAAAGGGAAATAAAGCACATTTTTTTTCGTGCTAGGAGATAAGAATGCAATAGGGAGGGTTTCTTGGTTTTAAATTGTCTCAGGAGTTTCATGGAAAGCATCAGAAAGGAAAGTGGTGGTAAAAGGAAGGAGGAAAAAAGTATTTTGAAACTTAAGTCTATGAGTCCAGAGTATTTTCATTTCAAATTGTGTTATTTTCTAAATTACAATATGTAGTAGAAGCTGCTTAGAGATGCAGAGGTCAGATCCTAGGCAGATATGAATATGCTAGAATTTATCAGAGGTATAATTATTCTAGTATTTTAGTTTGCCTGATACTTTGCTAGCAGACTTCATTTTAGTGTTTTCTTTTGAATTTTGTAAATGTCACTTGGTGGATTTTTTTAATACCATTGTCTTCGATCACTGAAATGTAGAACTGCTGTACAAAAGATTTCTATTAATTGGACAATATTACTTAAGAAAACCTAAGTCAGTGATGCAGTTGATGTGCATGCATACATATGTATATGTGTGTACATATATATATTTTTTTCTTTCCAGAAATTTAAAAGTCTATTAATTCAAGAACTAACCAAGGTGTTCCCAGAAGACATGGCAAAGTACAAAGCTATCCGAGGCGAGGATCCTCCTCCTTAGGTAGACCTCTGATAGCTCTAAAAATACGTCAATTCTATGAACTGGTGCCACTCTTAAGAAAAATGTCGACTGAAGTAACAGGGTGTCCAAAAACTTCATTAACAGCTCTACTAAAAATGGCAGTGATAGGATGTAAAGGAGCTTGATGATTGCTCATGGTTCTGGACTGAAGGTAATGCATCTTTCTGAAGACTTTCACTCATGGATTGCAGTTGAAACTTGTTGTGGTACTCTGTTCTTTCTTGAAAGATTTCAGAGATGTTTTGATAGTTTGCAGGCAATTATATGGCATTTCCTGCAGAGTGTGGTTTTGAAGCAGGAGATCATGGTGGTTGTTGCTGTTTTGTTTGGGATTTTTTTGCTTTCTAAAGAGCGTGCTCCAGGATTATGGGTTTCTGACAAATGCAGTTATTCTACTTGATTGTTTTTCATTTGTAAACTTTTTTTTTTAATTACAGTACAAACAATTGACTCTTATTATCTTGCCAAATTCTGTTGAACAGGAGCCTGTCATAGGCTCTAGTTTGCATGTGTCATAATGAATTGCAGCCAAGAAAACCTTGAGATATTTGTTTTGTTCTATAAGCTGCAGTGCAGATGGCTGATATCGAAAGGGAGCACATTCAGGATTAGCTCCTCAGCAATGTTGATATTTTGTATAATATTTCATGTAGACCTTTGTTAAATTCTAATTAGTTTCTGTAAGCAGGTTGAAGAATAAAAAAATTGTAAAAATGAAATTCTACTGTTTCTTTTGTGTGCTGCTCTTTAGAGAATGAATTGAAAGCTATAAAAAATGGCATTTTTGTTGGTATCAGTAATAGAAATGAAATCTGCATCAAAACTTGAAGATGATGTAAGCTTGGCATTTTGGCTTCCATGGTTGGTTGGTGGGGATCTTTGTTTTTTCCCTTGCATGCTCTTCCTGATTACCAGGGCTGGAGGAATTCTTGACGAAAAGCATATGGTTTGCACCTATCACCTCTGAAGATGGTAGACTGAATACAGGGCACAGGCAACGAAACTAAAACAAACAAAAAACAAAATAGGTAGGCTGTCCTTATGATTTGAATTCTGTGTCTACAAACTACAGGGTAAAGTGCAGGACCTGTTATTTGGTCTTGTCAAAGCTCATAGAGTTGGCTTTGTGAACCTGTGCTTGAGATGACAATGGATAGTCTAGATACAATGCTTGAGGAAACAACAACGAAGCATAATTTAGGAGGAAAACGTCTGCTTCTTTTTTCCTGCATAGCTGCATTTTTATGAGAAGATCCATAGGTCTTTGCTCTTTTCTGATGTTAGACACAAGAGGAGACCACAGTTTTGTAATTTGGTCAGCTAAATCACTTGCCAAACTTTACTTTATAGTCAAATGGTTATTTTTACACAGAAGATAGAAGCTCAACCAACCCCATCTGACCTCCCTGTCCTCTTGCCTCCCTAAAAAAAAAAAAAACCCAAACATGCACCTGGACAAAACCTCATCAACTTTCTAGAATCTCTTTCTTTTAGTAACAGGCATGACCTACCCTCCTGCTGTGCTCTGAACAGTGGTCCTGCTGGTGCACCATGCTCCTCTCTGAATGTTTTGCATATCTTGCCTCACACTGTAATCTGAATGGAGGCCTTGCTTTGACCCCTTGCAATTTTCTTGATGGTAGATGCAATTTGTTTCCAGGCTATTCTCTGAATGGTAGATATGACTTGATTTCTGGTTGTTCTCTGAATGTTGGCCCATGCTGCTGTCTCTTTGGTCGCCATCATGTGCCCCATGTCATTCTCTGAATGATGTTCACATCTGCGCTTCTCAGTGTTCTCTGAATGATAGCGGTGCCTGGGCCTCTTGTTCCCTAACCAATTGGCACACCTGGTCTCTACAGTTTCCTAGACACCTGGCATGCCTGGGCCTCTTGGCACTTTGTGGAGAATCCACCTCCGTGGTCTGAGATATCTTCATGTGGAAGACAAGGAGGTTTGAGGGGAACCTGGTGCCCCTTCCCTGGGGATGGCTACCCTATGTTATTTCACTATGTAGAAAGGCTGCTCTTGAGCGCAGGTACTGCCCCATGCCATTGCCTGACCAGTGGATACTAATGGGTGTCGTATGTGACCAGCCTCTCAGTGAAGAATCTGTTCTACCCTTACTCTTTCCCAATGTAGCTATATGCCATTCCCTCAGGCCCTGTCACTGTCATCAGGCAACAAATATCAGTGCTGCCCCTCCGCTCTCCTTGTGAAAAACTGCAGGCTGCCACGAGGCTGTGCCATGAGGCTGTCCCCTGATCTTCTCTCGCCCCACACAAAAATTCATTTGCTGCTCTATTTTGATCAAACAGAGAGAAAAGAACCAACATTATTACATGCTTGAACTCACTAAGGTTATGGTGAAAGGAGAAAAGAAGAAGTTAATAAAAATGCTTCTATTTCTCTCATTTATTTGGGCTCCGAATTTTGCAAACAAATGAGTTACAAAACTTACTAAAGAAATGCTGTTTCTGTTTGTCATTATGCTAGCAGCACAAATACTGCTGGATTTGCTTCATTGCCATGGCCTTGCCAGAGGATCTGGATGCCTGGCTGAAGTTGGGCCTGCCCTGCTTACCTTGTGGGGCCCTGTAGGACCCATCCCATGCTCTGCAGGCAGGTCACCACACATGGCTCCCTGTCCCTTACAGAGCAGTAGGTCCTTGTTCTCTGGCATTTATTCCCCCCCCACTGTAAATACATCCTACGTTACTGTCCAAATTATTTGGTAGAATGAAAAGGTATGGCTTCAAGTTGCAATTGAGGGAGGGTCAGGTTGGATGTTAGGATCACTTTTTCTCAGGAAGAGCAGTGAAGCGTTGGAACAGGCTGCTCAGGGAGGTGGTGGAGTCACCATCCCTGGAGGTGTGCAATAGAAGAGTAGATGTGGTATGCAGGGACATGGTTTAGTAGGCAACATTGGTGATAGGTGGATGGTTGGACTAGATGATCTTAGATGATCTTTCCAACCTTAACGTTCTATAGTTCTGTAATTATAGAGGTTTTGCATGGCGAATGCCGTTAGAGATTTGTTGGAGCTCTATTTCACACAGCGACATGTAGTAAAGAAAACGTCCCTTCATTTTCTGTGTAGACAGGAAAAAAGTGCTTAGAAAAACACTAATTTTCACGACAGTCCAGTGGTGTGTCTCAAGGTGCAGATTTATAAGGTGAATCAGAAACATAAACATAGGCCAAAGGAGGAGCAGCTGTAGGAGCGAAGCTGCACATCTCCACAGCCATTTCTCAGGGAGACTGGAGATGCTCCATGTGAGTGTTTGGAAAACATGCCAGCCTGAAACTGAAAGATCTCTGAACTGATTGAAATGACAAAATGTTTCAGAGCAGCATTAGCCTGCAAAGCTGCTCAAATCAATTTCATTCAGACTTCGTTAAAGTTAATTGTAATGCACTTTATCAGATGTGTTGAAGAGATTCTGAGGGTAGAAGCCCTCTGATCAAACCACTCATCAGAGAGGGTGTGAATGGCTTACAAGAAAACGACTTTTGTCTGCTAAGCAAGATGACCCAGCAACCAATTTTTCAGAGCCACTTCAATTGCTTACCATGAGAATTACAGGTTGCGATCAAGAAAGGGCAAACGCCAAAAAACCTCCGTGCATTTGTTCCACTTTCTGCCGAG